CCAATTAACTCCATACCCAGACCTATTGGCTACTACACTGGATCACACTACACAATATCATCTATTTCCTTTATTCTTGTAGGAGGCTAGAGAAGGAAAAGTCAGGAAAGTCTTAAATTGAGAATAGATAGTTAAGAGCTATCAGGAAAAAACACATGGTAAACATTTATAAATGTATAAATAAATATATATGAATACACGTTTATAAGTTGTGTGTCTTGAAATTTTTATAAAAATAACGGTTATGGTTAATACTTATATGGCACTATGTGCCAGGCATTTTTCTAAATGCTTTTTTTTTAAAAGATTTTATTTATCTATTCATGAGAGACACACACAGAGAGAGAGGCAGAGACACAGGCAGAGGGAGAAGCAGGCTCCATGCACCGGGAGCCTGACGTGGGATTCGATCCCGGGTCTCCAGGATCGCGCCCTGGGCCAAAGGCAGGCGCCAAACCGCTGCGCCACCCAGGGATCCCTCTAAATGCTTTTCAAGCATTAACCCATTTAGTTGTCTTGCCAGCTCCTAGAAGTAAATACTACTAATATCTCCTATTTTATAGATGAGAAAATTGAAGCACATCATCTAAAGATAATTACAACAGGAAAAGATTTGGTGATAATGTAGCCTGGGGTAAGGTGAGGGTGAAGACAATAAGAAGCATCTGCAAATGACTGTAAAGAAGAAAAACAGATTGTTCTCGTTTATGGCAAAATAAAGCAAATACTGATGAGACCTGGGGCCAAGGATAAGAAAGAAGAAACTAAGAAATTAAAGAATTATAATCCAAGGACAAAAAACAAAACACTGAAGTAAAATGGATCCCTATATTAATCATTCTAATGAACGTGGATTTCGAGCACAAAATAAACTGAACCTAGCCTAAAACAATTCAAGGGCGAGTAAGATTCTGTGTTACTGTAACACTCTTCTGTATCACTCTTTTAGAACTTACAACAATCTACCTTGTGTGACAGGTGTCACATACATGCTTTAGCTCCCCTACCAAATTTAAATTCTCTGATAGCAGGATATATCTGGTTCATCTTTTATGACAGAGAGCACCAAGGATAGTTTTTCATCAAGAAGGCGCTTTAACAATAAGCATTTGAGGCACCTGCTTGGCTCAGTCAGTTAAGCAACCAATTCTTAATTTTGGCTCTGGGTCATGATCTCAGAGTTGTGAGATCAAGTCCTGTGGTGGGCTCTGCACTGGGTGTAGAGCCTGCTTAAGATTCTCTCTTTCTCTTCTTCTGCCCCTCCCCACCATGCACTTGCTCTCTCGAAAATAATAATAATAATAATAATAATAATAATAAGAAGAAGAAGAAGAAGAAGAAGAAGAAGAAGAGGAGGAGGAGGAAGAGGAGGAAGAAGAAGAAGAAGAGGAGGAGGAGGAGGAGGAGGAGGAAGAAGAAGAAGAAGAAGAAGAAGAAGAAGAAGAAGAAGAAGAAGAAAGAAGAAGAAGGAGGAGGAGGAGGAGGAGGAGGAGAAGAAGAAGGAGAAGAAAAATATTGAGGGAAGCCTGAGTGGGTCAGTGGTTGAGTATCTGCCTTTGGCTCAGGGCATGATCCTGGGGGTCCTGGGATTCAGTCCCACATCCCGCTCCTTGCAGGGAGTCTGCTTCTCCTTCTGTCTGTCTCTGCCACTCCTTCTGTGTCTCTCATGAATAAGTAAATAAAATCTTTTTTAAAATTGAATCATTAAGTATATTAAATAAAGATATTAAAGATAACCATTAGTTCAAATCATAGCACTTAATTTGTCATTTTACTGAAAGTTTCATAATGATTTAAAAACATGAAATATTAAAGTGAAAATGTGGCAAAGTAGTGCAGAACACAAAGTCAAACTTGGGTCATCTGGGTCCAAGGATGGTTGGGAAGATGGGGAAAGAAGTAGCTAAGGTTTTAAAGAAATATTAGATTCTCAGGTTCTATGTGAAGTAACCCAAAGACTTCAACTCACAACATCTGTTGGATCAAATTCATAACTGAGTTTTAAATAAGGGCAGGTTGCAAGGCAGTATAGAAAATTTAAATGGTTCCTTCGTGATGTGGAAAAAGTCTGGATTGTAAAGAAGAATCAGTTGAAGTGGTGTTGGAGTTTCTGAACTTTAAATTTGATGATATGGTCATTGGGCGCTCTCTAGTGGATTAATTTAAAAATAACTGTTTTGCCCTTGAAAAAAGATCTGAAACTGAAAATCAACATTTTAATTACAAATAAAAGATACAGCATTATGTTTTATATTACGTTTACTTATATTTTATTTATAGTATGTTATATTTATACCTTTTAAAAATCTTCTACTCCACAAGCAAAGAAAGGAAATACAGCATTTTTTTAAGGCACACTTGACTCCCATTCCAATGCCCCAAAGAGGAAAGAAATCCTGGGCCTGCTGATTAATTAAGCTAAGTTAAAATTTATTAATTGAGTCAGAAACTTTTAAGAGTCAATACTGTCTCTCATTTGCTTAAAATTTTTTAAAATCCTGTAACATTTTTGTTTTAATTTATTTGCTATTAATTTTACAGTGCTTGGGCATGCTTTTCATTTTAATAATGTGTCACAGTAAAATGAAGTTTCTCAGTGGAGAAACTTAGAAATGACTGGGTAAGAAGTGTGCTTCATAAATGGGGAAGGAATGAGTAAGTAGACACTTATCATTAGAACTGGTTTTTGACAACTACTTGAAACATTTCTTAAGTAGTTGATTCAATTTGTGATTTTAAAAAACACAATTTAACACTTAATGAAAGGTTGCGATAATCATGAAGACTTCTGGAATGGCTTTCCTTCAGCTTCCCCAATATTAACATTTTACTGCATCCATTTATTTGCTTTGTTTCATATATACATTTTTTTCCGAACTGTTTAAAAGTGAATCCAGATATGATGTCCCTTTAAAAAATACTTCAGTGTGTTTTTTTCTGGCATATACCCACATTACAAGTATCAAAATCAGGAAATTAGCACTGAAAAAATATTATTATTTAATCTATATAACTTATTCATATCTCACCAAATGTCCCAATAATGTCCCTTTTAACAAAAGAAAATCCAAAATTATGCATTCAATTCAGTTGCCACATCTTCTTAGCCTCCTTTAAATTAGAACCATTCCTCAGTCTCTCTTTGTGTTTCACAACATTGACATTTTTTAAGAGTATAGGCCACTTATTTTGTAGAATGCCCCTCTATTTGAGTTTTTCTGATGTTTTCCCATGGTTAAATTTAAGTTATGCACTTTAAACAGGAATACCAAAGTAGTGGTGGTGAATACTTTTCAATGCATTATATAAGGAAGCAGCTGCTGTCCAATGGTTCCATTATTGGCAATGTTAATTTAATCATTTGGTTATTTTTGTACTGTCAAGTTATTAATTTACTCTTCATAATGACTAACTTGCAGGTAGATATTTAGAAATTATATAAATATCCTGCTTTACTCAAAATTTGCCCATGTTTTTACTATCCATTGATGATTCTTACCTGAATCACTTATCATTACCATTCAGTAATCACTACTTTCATTATTCCTTATACATTTATTAGTTTGCTTTCTATAATAAAGAGGTTCTTCCCCCCTCCCCATTTCTTTGCTGTTATTGTTTCACAATTTATATCAGCGTGGACTCAAGGATTCTTACTTTGTTCAATGGTTGATCATGCCTTTTTATCAGGGTTTGGTTTTTTGGCGTTTGGGTTTTGTTCTCAATGCTTATGCTGTCCCAGATTTGGCCAATGGGAGTTCTGTCAAGGTGGCTCCAGACCTCTTTGGACATGCTCCATTATTCTTTTAGTACTTTTGCATTTTGGGCACAAGCTGTTCCAAGCACCTGTTGTAGTTTGTCTATGCCAGCCTTGAGAATCATTCACTTTTCCAATGAGCTCTGGTGCCCTTTGATAGAGAATGGTATTTAGACAATGAAATCCAGGTACAAAATGTGTTTATTGCTACTAGGATGTTCCTAGCCTCCTAGAAGACAAAGCTACAAAATAAACACACACACACACACACACACACGTACCATAAATATACCTAGAAATATTTCTTACCTTTTATGCAGGTGTATAGGACTCCATGGTGTGGTCCACCCCATTTTATTCAGCTACTGTTCTATGTTATTTTCAATGTTTTTCAATTACAAACAATAACAACCTTGTGCCTATGTATTTTCATATAATGGAGGTAGGAGTGTATCTTCTGAGTAAATACCTGGATGTCAGATTGCTGGGTCAAAGGTAAATGCATATATAGATATGTCACTTATTGCCAAATTCTTTTCCATAGGGGTTGTGCCAATTTGCATTCCCACTAAGCAGTGTGGGAGAGTATCTATTTCCCCACAACCCACCCTCATATGAGAATGTGTTGCTATTTTTCATTTTTGCCAATTTTGAGAATGAAAAATGCCATTTCAGTATAGCCTTAACCGGCATTTTTTTTTAATCACAAATGAGGTTGAACATCTTTTCATATGCCAAAGGGCACTGCTATATCTTTTTTTGTGAATAGTCTATTCATGTCTTTTGACCATTTTAATGGGGTTTTCTGTCTCAAAAAAGTAAAATTTAAATATGTATTTGGGGGGCACATTCTAACCACTGGACACAGTTTCGGGTGCTGCAGATACAATGATAGACAAAATCACTTGCAAAAACTTTACTCAGCATAATTATAGCTGATATTGAAATACAAATAGTATTTAAATCCTTGGTTGATGATTGTTCTGCTAGTTTGAAATAATTTTGAAAAAAAATAAAATCCTATAGATTCATTCACATTATCCAAATATATTTTAAGTTAAGATCCTTTTACAACTTTTTACTGAAGGGTCAAAAGGATAGTATCAAGGAGCTGAGCCCTTGCTTTGGGTAACATGTTCAAAGGCCTGCAGAAGACAAAAGGAAAAAGCTTTCAAGAAAATATGCAAATAGTGTTTGAAAGAAAGTAATGCCACTCTCTAATTTTTTTTCTTTTCTCATACAGTTGTACATCTTCAGGATGATCCACTTAGCAGATAGCTCTGGACAGACAGAGGATTTCTCCCAATGTGTAACACACTGCAGTTTTCCACAATGGTGGCATCAAGCCTTTTATAACTTCTTCACCTTCAGCTGCCTCTTCATCATCCCTCTTCTCATCACGCTAATCTGCAATGCAAAAATCATATTTACTCTGACACGAGTCCTTCATCAGGATCCCCACGGTACGTATTTCTTAGATTTGGTGTTCGTTGTGGGTAAACAGATTTTAACAGCAATGTTCACAGCAGAATGGCATGTACAAGGTGCCAGATACTGTTCAAAGCAGTTTGCATATTTAATACAGTAACTCCAAGAGCTAATACTTATATTATACTTTTACTATCCTCAGTTTACAGATGAAGTAATTTGGTATCTCCCAATGTTCCAAAGTTGTACCGTGAAATTAAAAATGAAATAACAATTTTCTCATTTTACCCAAGATACGAATTGGCAAATTGCTCCTGCTGGGCCACCACAACACTACGCCAAACGCCTGATTTCTAGAATACCACAAAGCACGCCTCATCAAGTGGTAGTCAAAAGACTTGCTAAGGTTAAGCTGTTCCATTTCCCACTCAGATCCCCTCTTCCACACAACATAACTGTATACATGTATGCATGTGTGTTTTGTGTGAAATACTCTTGAATATGGAGTTGACTCTTTCATCTGAATCTTCACAGCTGTGGTTGTACCTTTTTTGCTTCAGTAATCCAGAGTAGTCTCGAAAACTAAATTTATAAATTTGCAAATTAAGCGTGGCTATATTGGCCTGACGTCCAAAAGACATGTTTTCAATGGCATGGTGCATACTTAAACGTGGTACAACTTAACAGGAAAATCATCTTAATTACTGTAGCATGATTACTAATCTCAGCAGATATTTTCTCAAGGAAATAATTGTGGAAATGCTCTATAATAAATACTTGAGCAGTTCCCAGCACAAAATGGGTATTTGATACTTCTTAAGTATACAAAAACATTTGCCCTCAAAATCTTATCCCAGAGAAATTCAGTTCTATAAGGGATATCTAAGAAGGCCATATGGAGAATAAGAAGATAAATCCCAAATAGGGATTAATCGGAAGAAATGTGAGCTAGGCAGAAGCAGAGAAATAAAACAGCAGAGGCAAGGAGCAATAGTTCAATATTACTAACACAGATTTAGTTAATTAATCTTTTCTCTATTCAACCAATATGTATTAACTACTCAATATTGCTGGAAATGGTGATAGATGTGGATACCACAGTGGATAAAACAGCCCACTAACTATCCTGCTTTCATGGAATCTACAGTCTTGCAGAAGACGGTATAACAGTAAACCAATAATGATATGTGATGATATTTCAAAAGAGGTCGAAGGACAGTTATAGGAGGTTGAACATTTTTTCAGATTCAGCCCCTGTGCTAAGCCAAGATGCTTCCTTAAATGTGTCCATTCCTATTGATTGCTTTATTACTTATACCATTAGAGTTTACAGATACTGAGGATTAAATGAAATAATGTGTGAAAAGAACAAGGCCCATAACAAGGTACACAGTAAATGATAATTAGGTTTGTATGACAGAAATCCATAACCTACCTGTTCTCAATAAATTACTGACTTTAACATTTGTAGTCAAAAATTAATTTTACAGTTAAAACATCATGCACGCAAATGTTTTCATCCATATTTCCATTCTTTTGTGATCAGTGAATAAGAAGTTGCAAAATGGTTGCTTCTGAATAGCATGATCTATGTCCCTCATGAAACATACAGCATGGGAAAGGCATTTTTTGTTTCAAAATAGCAGTTCTGGCTTATGAAATACAAGAACAGATTTTGAGCACTTTAAAACTGCAGTTAAGAACTATGTGCTAAATTTCATGCAGGCAGCCTGTGAGTGTCAAAAATTCCATTAAACCCTAGTGAATTTACACACACACACCATATGTGACAAACACACACACCTCACATACACCACACAGATGCCACACATACAAGCTTCACACATACATCACCCACATACCTACATGTGGACTTTAAGTGATTTACTGATATGAAAAGGGAAATAGTTTTGAATATCATAGAGAGAAGCACATGGTTGAGAAAGATATTTTGGACATACACTTTCATCCATACGTGATTCTTATTATCTTTACTGTCAGAGATAGTAAGTATGGTTCTGTGTAAACACACAATTCAATTTAGCTCAACTTTAGTCTACTCTCAAATTTATGTTTTAAGAGTTTGAGTACCCATACATTTCAAATCCAAATTATTTGGTGGAAATTTATTTTTAAGAACACTGCTATCTTTTAGTCTTTTCTATTTGTTATGTGACATAGGGGAAAACTTGGAATATTAAACATTAAAGAAAATTTTCAAACAAATTTTCATTATGAAAAATATTGGAATTTGTTCCCTATTCCATTAATTAGTTTGAATTAGTGAATCTCTCTTTCTTATTTCCATGTTGGTTTTGTAATAAAACTGGTCTTTAAATATCTACTTTTTTCTCTATCTAACAGAATTACAACTGAATCAGTCCAAGAATAATATACCAAGAGCTCGGCTGAGGACCTTGAAAATGACAGTTGCATTTGCCACTTCGTTTACTGTGTGCTGGACTCCCTACTATGTTCTAGGAATTTGGTACTGGTTTGATCCTGAAATGTTAAACAGGGTGTCAGATCCAGTAAATCACTTCTTCTTTCTTTTTGCTCTTTTAAATCCATGCTTTGATCCACTTATATATGGATATTTCTCTCTGTAATTGATAGTCTATGTAGGAAGCCATATAAAGAAGAGCAAGGTGGTGAATTTCATCAAATGGGAATAATAAACACAAAGGTTGCAGCACATTTACGGATAAACAGTTTAAGATTATATTAACATCCTTTTTCTTTTTGAAAACACATTGTCAGAAACTCAAATGCAAATAAAAATCACAAACACAAAGAAAAAGAAAATTCAAGAAAAATAATAAAATATTCCCTCATAATCATAAACTTCTGAATTAATCTGTCCCCTTTCTGGGCTTCTATAACACATTTACATAGGTAATGTGTAATCTTATTACTTTCTCCTTGTCTAATTATATATAAAAATTTTAAATAGCCATGGCCTAAGGCATCGAGATTCCAAAAAGTAAGGCTGAGGGCTGCCTGGGTGGCTCAGCTGTTTAGTGCCACCTTCAGCCTAGGGTGTAATCCTGGAAACCAGGGATCGAGTCCCATGTCGGGCTCCCTGCATGGAGCCTGCTTCTCCCTCTGCCTGTGTCTCTGTCTCTGTCTCTCTCTCTCTCTCGTATAAATAAATTTTTTAAAAATTTTTAAAAAAGACAAAAAGTAAGGCTGGGAAACTACAACACAGCTTTAACCTAGGCATGCCTTTAAGAGTTTTTTTTTCCGAGTTCCCTGGGTGGCGCAGCGGTTTAGCGCCTGCCTTTGGCCCAGGGCGCGATACTGGCGACCCGGGATCAAATTCCACGTCGGGCTCCCGGTGCGTGGAGCCTGCTTCTCCCTCTGCCTATGTCTCTGCGCCTCTCTCTCTCTCTCTGTGACTATTATAAACAAAAAAAAAAAGAGTTTTTTTTCCAAGGAGCCTAGCAGCAGTTATATCTTATGTTCCAATAATATGCAAAGCACAGAAAATATCCCTGTCCATAGGATCAATTTTCCTTCCTCTGGTTAAAAAAATGCAACAAATATAATTTTTTGTTTGATTTCAAAAGCATTCTGAAGTTTTAAGTATTCAGCAACCAACTCACCAACCATTCCACCAATGTGATAAAACTTACAAGTAGTTCTCCTTTATCCCAGTCTTTATCCCAGTGGAACAGTGTGAAGCGCCTTCATAAAAAGAGGAGGGGTAGAGAGATTAGTATTTGGACAAAGGTTAGAACACTCCTCTAGGCTGCAGTCAGTGGAGTTCGTGGTGATTAACTGTAGTAATAACATTGTTTTTAATACAATCAAGAAAAGATTGATTATGTTTTATATATAACATGCACTCTATTTTAATATGAGAGATTTTTTCCATCTTCTGATTTTACTAAATCTATAATCCAAAAGTCACTGAGAAAAACAAATAAATCAAGCAAATGCACAAGTGAAAAGATATTTGATACATAAGAAGCACACTGAAAATGACAGTGTGCTTTAATATATACAGGTCAAAGAAATCAACAAAGTATTGAGACAAGGAAAAGAAAATTTGTAAATGGTAAGTAACACCTACTGATATTCACATTAAGTGATGGTTTTCAAAATATATGGGCACAAAACTCTTTTAATTCAGGCCTGTTTCTACCTGTTCCATGAAAAAAGGGGAGGATGAAAATTAGGAAACTGCAATATACACAATGAAAAATGTTTATAAAGGACTCTAAAGAAATTCAGCCATCCTTTAACTTCTTCCTAAAAAATAGGTAAAATACTATTATATTCATATGAGGTATGTAGTGCCACCCAAAGACAATATGTAATTTCCAATTTTCTAGGGCATAGAGAACTGTGGAAAGTAAATTACTAATTAGACTAATGTAGTCTTTCCTTATTTTTCTCTTCTCATACATATTCTTCAGTGTAGTTGTGTGTGTGTGTTGTGTGTTTCCACAGCCTATATTATTTTCTAATTTCCACTTCCACTAATCTGTTTGTCACCATTCAGCTCCTTCCTTCTACTCTTTCATTCATATCTTCTTTTTTACTAAGCCCATACCTTTAATTCATCAATCCATGTGCCAACTCCACAGTTGAATTGGTCAAGGTTCAATTCAAGGCATCGAGAAACATATAATGTTTTGAAATGCTCAAAATTAACTTTTAAGGCATGTATATTGATGCCAAGATTTAATAGTTCTACCAAATGACACAATATTGGTAAGTCACAACAAAACCAATTTTCTTCTTTAATCTTTATCAGATACTTATTCCTAATTTGATACAATTCTTACTTCCAGACTTAAAGGCAAAACAACAAACATATAAACATATATAAGATATAATTTAAGGGCTTTATTAGATATGTGTTTAATGAACACATGTCAGCTTGACTCTTAGAATCTCCAGAAATTGTTCTATTTAGATATGCTCTCAGGCATTTTTTGATACTAACTAAAGGGCTATTCAAAATTTGGTGCAGGGGTTAGTAACCTATGGTCCATGCACAAAATTATATTTCAATGCAACTGTTTTTCTTTTATTTCTATTTGTATTATTTTATGCATTTAAAAAGATTATCCTAAAAGAGGTTTATAGGCCAAACCAGACTGCCAAAGGAGCTCATGTCACAAAAAAGGTTGAGTTCCTTATTGATTTTGTATAAAAAACGGTTTTTACAATAAAATTTTATCAGAATGTATTCATTTGCTTATAAGCATGCATAATAATATTAATATTGGATTATTTCAATTTGATTACTCACCACTTCAGATTTAAAAATTTTCCTAAAGCTCAATATGTAATTAAAAACTTTTCAGAAATAAGTATATTATATAAATATAATATAAATTGAATTGTAATATAAATTATAATATGGATTTAAATTAAAATTTATAGCTCAAAAGGTAAATGTGGCTTTAAATTAAAGATATATACCATTCAACAGAGACTATTCAATACATTTGATATTCCAGTCATTTACTCAATTTCCAATCATAACAAAAGATGAAGATTCCTTGTAAAAAAAAAAAAGGATATATTCTGTAGAATGAATTCAGAATTCTATCTGGGTTGTCTCCTTTATGTAGCATATAAAATTGGGTATAGTTTGGGTTCCTCTTGCAAGTCAATTTAGTAAACAAATGACATAAATGAATGACAATGAATTGAACAAAGACTGCACTAATTCAATTTCAGCCCAAGAAACAGAGCTATAACAGCTGAGAAGGAAAAAAATAAACTATAAGAGAAATGGGTGTCATAAATATTACTTTCCAAGGTATGGTATATATCAGTGTAAATGAGCTAGGAATCTCCTTAAAGTGACCTGGTCTCAGAATTTACTTTGTAGTCATAAAGAGATAATACTTATGGACAGTTTAATATGTTTAGAATTTCACCTATTTTACCTGTAGCCTGGTTTCACATGTTGAGCCAACGCTTTGAGCTTGTCTAATTACTAAAAACTGTGTGCATAGAAAACTAAATAGAAGAATATAGTTGAGTTTGATCTCTAAAGTTAATTTAAATCTTCAATTTAATTGTTAGAGTTAAGTTCAAAAATCAAGTTTAAAACTATTAGCCTAATTTTTACAGTTATATAATTTATAAAATGTGTGTATAAGGGGGATGCCTGGGTGGCTCAGCAGTTGAGCATCTGTCTGCCTTCGGCTCAGGGTGTGATTCCGGAGTCCTGGGATCGAGTCCCGCATCAGGCTCCCTGCATGGAGCCTGCTTCTCCCTCTGCCTGTGTCTCTGCCTCTCTCTCTCTCTTTGTGTCTCTCATGAATAAATAAATAAAATCTTTTTTAAAATAATAATTAAATTAAATGTGTGTATAGGAACCATAGAAGAATATAATAAAAAGTACTGATATCATTATTTCTGAGTGATGTTTAAAATCTTCTTTCTTGTGAATTCCTTTAATTCCAAATTTCCAAAGTGAACATATACTGCTTTTGTAATGAGAAAAAAAAATAAATGTTTTATGAGTGTGTGCTTGTATGACTTTTACATGCCACTCTCACTGTTAGAATGCTTTCTGCTGTAATAAACGTCAGACTAAAAGTGACACGTTTTCATCTCAGGTTATAGGACGTTCTTAGGTAAGCATGCAAAACTAGTTAACTCGGAGCTTGAAGTCGTTTTCTCTGCCTCCACTGGGCTTTCCTTTAGAAGCTAATTGCAATTCTAAGTCTCAAGGTCAGAAAGAACGCATGGCTTCCCCTTTCCCAGAACTTTAAGCACTTCATCTTAAATTGGCTAGAATAGGAACACATGGCCAGTTCTAAACTAGTTACTAGCAAAGGAGAGGCCAATTACCTTAAATAGCTTAAAAGTATGTTTTGTTTTAGGGAGTCAGGGCTCATTTCCCCTAATATTAAGCTATCAGATAAAAATAATGTCCTTCATTCTCTCCCTCTCTCTGTCTCTCCCCCCTTCTCCCCTATTTCGTTCTCCCCCCCACCCAACTCTTTCTCCCTCCTCCCCCCCTTTTTCTCTCTCTCTCTTCTCTCTCTCTCTCTCTTTCTCCTAATAGCAGAAGGAGAATGTTTTGGAGGTCAGAAAGCAGCAGTAACTTTACTATCAAAATAAAAGTGAAACTATGTATATCACAAAGTTTAAGTAGCACAGTGCACAATTGAATACAAAGCATATAGACTAAATATAGTTATTGGAACATACTAATTACATAGTAATTGTAGCCCTAAGGCGAAAGATTTTATTGTTTTTCACAATCTGAATCCAAACCCTTTAAACTCCAGTAGTTGGAAGCTTCAATAGAAGCAGAGGGTAGCTTCTGCCCAATTATTTACTTTCTTGGGAACTCTTGGTCCCTGTTTTTTGTTTTTATCGCTTATTCCACTAAGAAATTTTCATAACTTTTTTAAAATTCTTGTGATCACTTCAGATCCAGAGAATAATTGTCAAATAAATTAGTATAAATATGTGGCAATCTGAAGCAGATTTTCCATGAAGCTAATAAAACTTAACTTCAAGTTCCTTATTTATTCGGTTCCCTTCTGAGGCCCTGGGAAAGATGTCTTCACAATGTCATATGTTTTCGCAAAATTCACAAAAACAAGATATTATCATTGTAATGGGTTAA